AAAATATGAGTACTTATTCAAGCACCAGGGAAACTGCAAAGCTAAAAGCGAACATCAGGGAGAGGAGAAATCACAGGCTCTAAAGAAGAAAAAAAAACGCTCTTATAGGTGGAAAATTATAAAAACTCAGACATTACACATCCCCAGAACATGTCTGACAAGCCCCAGAATTAGTAGCACAGCTGTTATTTGTGTTCTCTTGTACAAAACAAGTACCTAAAGCCTGGGACCCAGAGGCTGTTTCTCTTGTTTGAATTCCCAAATTTCAATAAAAGATCACAAAGCATATGGAAAAACAGAATACGTTCCTATCAAAGAAACAAAATAAAATGCCCAAACTGGCCCTAAATAAATAGAGAACCATTAATTACCTACAAAGAATTTAAATAACCATTATAAAGATACCCATAGAAGAAGAAGAAGAAAGAGATAGGAAAGTAACTGATATCAGGAAAACTATACATGATCAAAATAAACACCCAAAGAGCTAACAAGTATGAGACAACCAAACAGAAATTGGGAGCTGAAAAGTACAATTACTGAATTTAAAAATAAACTGAAGAATCAGCAACATACTTGATCAAGCAGAAGAAAGAAGCAGACATCTTTAAGATGCCTTGTTTTGTATTATCTATGAAGAACAAAGAAAAATGTGGAAAAGGATGGAGCCCAAGGGACTCATGGGATACTAATGAGTGGACCAATATGTACATTAAGGGGATTCCCAAAAGAAGAGGAGAGTGAAAGGAACATAGACTTTACATGAAAAACTAAAAGCTGGTACTTTCTACCTTTCTGGAAAGAGTCAAATTCAACAAGCTCAGTAAATTCAAAGCAGGATAAATGTCAAGACATGAACAAAGTGACACACTGTAAGTAACCTAGCAAAAATCACAGGTGAAAAAAGAAATTTGAAACGGCATGAGAAAAGCAACTTATCCTATATGATTATTAGTGGGATTCTAAGCAGAGAATAATTTCTTATAAAAGAAATGCATGGGACTATATATTCAGGTGATGAGATCAAAAAACATCAACCAAGAATACTCTATCTGGCAAAACTGTAAAACTGTTTTGCAAAAATGGAGCAATGAAGGCTTTCCCAAGTAACAACCCTTAGAACTTTAACAGTTAACCTGCCCTACAAGACACATCAAGGGGAGTCCTTCCAGGGGAAATAAAAGGATTCTAAACAGTAACCAAAATCATACAAAAGTATGAAGCTCTCTCCTAAATATAAATATTTACATTGGGGCACCTGGGTGGCTCAGTCAGTTAAAGCATCTACCTTCACTCACAAGTCATGATTTGGGAGTCCTGGAATCAAGCCCGTCAGGCTCCCTGCTCAGCAGGGAGTCTGCTTCTCCCTTTGTCCCTCCCCCTGTGAGCACATGCTTTCTCTCAAATAAATTAAATCTTTTAAAATAAATAAATAAGTACACATTCACATAATTATAGAAATCTATGGTGCTATAATGCTACAGGATTTTTTTTAAAATAAAAGTATAAAAATCATTAAGTCTGGGACGTCTGGGTGGCTCAGTGGTTAGGCGTCTGCCTTTGGCTCAGGACATGATCCTGGAATCCCAGGATGGAGTCCCACACATCAGGCTCTCTGCATGGAGCCTGCCTCTCCCTCTGCCTGTGTCTCTGCCTCTCTGTGTGTCTCTCATGAATAAATAGATAAAATTTAAAAAAAAAAAAGTTCCTTCAATTCAAAAAGTGTTTCTCTCATGCAAAGAGAACATAAATTCTTCAATAAATAGTTAATGAAATTAATTCTATTACTATGACAACTAGACATGATAAAACATTCACTAACCACTAACCATGGAAAGAAATACGGGAGTCACAAACAACGTATGGGTAATATTTAGACAAATATGTACATAATTTTCTTGGCAAAAGACATATAATTGATCCATATTTGAGTTGAACCCACATCGTCTTAAAATGAGATGAAAACGGTTACCTCAAAAATGTAATATGTAGGTAAAAAGCAAAAACACAACTAACTAATATGTTAAAAGTCCCATAGAGGGCACCTGGGTATCTCAGTGGTTGAGTGCCTTCAGCTCAGTTCATGATCTGGCTCAGGTTGTGATCCCCGCGTCCTGGCATTGAGTCCCATATCAGGCTCCCCGCAGGAAGCCTGCTTCTCCCTCTGCCTATGTCTCTGCCTCTCTCTTTCAGTCTCTCATGAATAAATAAAATCTTTAAAAAAAAAAAAAAAAAAACAGAAAGTCCCATACAAAACAAAGTACATTATTATGGAATTGCAAAATCAGAATAAAACAAAATTTAACCCAAAAAATGTTACATAAAAAATACACGTATTATTAGGGCGGCTGGATGGCTCCGTCAGCTAAATGACTGACTCTTGATTTCAGCTCGGGTCACGATCTCAGGCTCTTGAGATGGATGGAACCTGGCACTGGGCTCTGCACTGGACATGGAGTCTGAGATTTTCTCTCTCCCTCTCCCCCTTCCCTCTGCTATCTCTCTTTCTCTCAAAAAACAAAAAAGTATGCATTATTTAAAAAGAATTCTATTTTATTATAATCTTAGACTGAGACTGTGCATATATAAAAATCAAGTATTTTGAATCATTGCCATGTCTATGTGGCAGTAAAATTGTGAAGGAAAATCATTATGATCAATCATAAAAACGTCTACTGGAAAATTTTATGAACAAGCACTTAAAATACATTAAATAAATATACTATGTTGTTAATATGTTCCGCTTACTTTTACAAAGAATATGTAACTGTGATCCATTCCTTAGAATCAAGCAAACAAAAGCCATTCATTTCTTTTTTTTTTTTTTTTTAATTTTTTTTATTTATTTATGATAGGCACACAGTGAGAGAGAGAGAGAGAGAGGCAGAGACACAGGCAGAGGGAGAAGCAGGCTCCATGCACCGGGAGCCCGACGTGGGATTTGATCCCGGGTCCCCAGGATTGCGCCCTGGGCCAAAGGCAGGCGCCAAACCGCTGCGCCACCCAGGGATCCCAAAAGCCATTCATTTCTAAATAAACAACACAGAAATTGTAAAATATACTGACAATTCTTTTATATATAATAAATATTTAGGATTAAATTCAAATATATTTTCAGGAAAGCAGAAAAAAGTCTGAGGATTAATTTCTCCTGAAATAAATTACATGTATGAACAAAACATTTTTTAAAATATGGAACTTGTGGGCAGCGCTGAAGGCTCAGCCAGCGGTTTAGCACCACCTTCAGTCCAGGGCGTGATCCTGGAGACCTGGGATCGAGTCCCAGGTTGGGCTCCCTTCATGGAGCCTGCTTCTCCCTCTGCCTCTGTCTCTGCCTCTCTCTGTGTTGCATCTCTCATAAATAAATAAATAAAATCTTTTAAAAAATAAAAATAAAAATAAAATATGGAACTTTTATGCATTATGTAACTCATCTTTTTTTTTTAGGATTTTATTTATTCGGGGATCCCTGGATGGCTTAGCAGTTTAGCGCCTGCCTTCATCCCAGGGTATGATCCGGGAGTCCCAGAATAGAATCCCACGTCAGGCTCCCTGCATGGAGCCTACTTCTCCCTCCACCTGTGTCTCCGCATCTCTGCCTCTCTCTCTCTCTCTCTGTCTCTCACGAATAAATAAATAAAATCTTTAAAAAAAAAAAAAAGATTTTATTTATTCACTCGTGAGAGACACAGAGAGAAAGGGAGGCAGAGACATAGGCAGAGGGAGAAGCAAGCTCCCCTGTAGGGAACCCAATGCGGAACTTGATCTCAGGACTCTGGGATCACACCCTGAGCCAAAGGCAGATGCTCAACCGCTGAGTCACCCAGGTGTCCCTATAACTAATTTCTTATAAAACACAGGCCTATGTCATATCAGAACTTCCCATCTCAAAAATCAAATAAGTCTAATATAAAAGAAATTAGGAAGTAAAAGCATATGACACAGTCACAGGAACTTATTAAACTAGACAAAATTATAAAATGATGCAGTTATTAATAATTAAGGTAATAACTGGGACTTTATTTCTTTTTAAATTCTATTTATTTTTAAGATTTTTTTTTAATTTTTTTATTTATTTATGATAGTCACACAGAGAGAGAGAGAGAGAGAGACACAGGCAGAGGGAGAAGCAGGCTTCATGCAGGGAGCCCGATGTGGGACTCGATCCCTGGACCCTGGGGTCATGCTCTGGGCAGAAGGCAGGCACTAAACCGCTGAGCTGCTGAGCCACCCACCTCCCTTAAATTTTATTTAAATTCAGTTTGTCAACATAAAGTGTAACACCCAGGGCTCATCTCATCATGTGGAACTTTATTATATGCTATCAGTTCTAAGTACTAAATGTTCTAGCTCTTCTATGGCATGACTTTATGTAGGAACAAGTAGAAACATTAAACTGAGGAACTGGAATGCATTGAGTTGCAATTTCTAATCTCAGGCCAGATGAAAGAAAGGAAACTGTAAAGTGAAATGAAGCATCAGATTTTCTCATTATAGGGAGGTGCTTTGTTATCTGAAGAAATTACGGTCTCAATTTTGTAGGGTTATGTTTAAAGTCTCCATAAAATTGGAAAGCATAAAGCAAATAGATGAGATCTGTCTCTACTGTTCTTGGGATTTCTGCACCCAACCCCAATATTCCCACCACTCTCCTCACACACATCTGACCTAAGGCAAAGCAGATCTTAGAAAGGCTTAACACAGATTTCCCCAGGCCTCCAAAAGCAATGGAAAAGCATTCAGATCATGGAGACGTTCACCATCCAAGTAGAGCATGTTGTCCATGCAGTGAATATAAAGGAAGATCACTAGAGATGAAGGAGAATCCTCAGAGGATATAAGAACATGGTAAGTGTTGGACAGGGCATGTCCCTCTGACAGCAAGAGAAATACAACTATGCTTTTCAAACTTATTTCTACTCAAAAAGAGTTATCCAAACCACAATATATGGTCTACCTTCCTCCTTGACCTTTGGCCTCACTTCTGTCATCTGCTTCATTCATTCCCACCTACCTGGATGGAAGGCTACTGTCTCCTTTCCCTTCACATCCCAGAGCTCCCTCTTTTGCTCCAAAAAGATGATCAGGTCTGGCTTTGACACAACAAGACCTGTTTATTAGAAAAAAGGAATGAGTATTGCTAAAGATTCTAATTTTCAATCCAGTATTATGCTCAGTAGAGAAGGGAGGACATTTTAGAATTCTAGAAAATGGCTTCCCAAAAGCTGTTGTCCAACAGCCCTTTTACACACAGAAAGGATTTCCAATGTTCAGATCTTGGGTTCCACTTCCAAGTAACTACATGTAATAATAAGGAGTGGAAATTGGAGTTTAAGATGTAAGGAGTATCATTTTATGCCTCTTGATGTCTAGAACTGCCACTAATCTACAGAAGTAATGATGTTGCTTTAAGGAAGGGGAAATAAAGCCTAAAAGGACACATCGTGAAGATTTTTCTCTCCATCTATAACCCCCTACTTACTTCCCTTAATGCAGCGATCTGAATTCCAGTCGTGCAAAGAAGACTCTTCCGAGAGATGGTCTTCAAGGGAAGGAACAAAACCCTGAGTGTGGTTTGGGAAGTCTGGAAGGAAGTTATCCTCACCCAAGAAGAGAAGGTTTCCATAGTTCTCTAACATCACATCCCTGTACAATTCCCGCTGAGTGTGGTTCAGGCATCCCCACTCCTCCTGAGAGAATTCTATGGTCACATCCCTGAATGTCAGCAGTCCCTGCAATAAATACCACAGTTACCAAGTGGCCTTAGGCAGAGTTCACAATGTACCTAAGATGAAAGAGGGAGTTAGCAACACCAGCTAGACCCCATGACCTGACTTTTACTGCTCACCTACTAGTACCCACTTACTTTTGTATCAAATTTTCCTTAAGCTCTTTCTTCCAGCTTATCTTAAAATTCAGGCAAAACAAAACAAAACAAAACACCCAGGGACATAGTCTCCCATGATGGAAACAAAAACAACTGTACAAGCAGTAAATACTGCCCTGACTAAACACTCCAGTAGCCAGACCACCCAGATCAGTTTGGGCTTAACTGCCAGCTCAACCTGTGCAGATGCACATACAGTGACCCTTGGAGTGACGTACAGTTACCTTTATCTCATTATAATACTAAATCTTTCCCCCAGGAGGGATACAAACCTCATATATATAACAAAGTATGCATAGAATGGTTTCCTTAAGCCAAATGCATGACCATATGCCCACCACCTCTACATAAGATGACAAGGCTCCTCTTCCTAAATATTCATTCTAAGCCTAAATAAAAGGAACCCATTCACTCATGCTCTGGGGGTCTTGGCTTTGGAAGTTATACTCAGTGATCCCCTTATTTGCTGTAAATAAATTTTCCGTTGTCTGACAACCCCACTATGTAGTTTCTGTGACTCATCAAAGAGCAAATTCACTTTAGTTCTGTTACAAATTTGGTGATCCAGATGGGACAGGTGTCCTTCTCAGGTTCTGGCCTCTGTTTCCTGGCTTCCAACAGATGCAGCAGTGGGTACCACAAGCTCACCCTGGCTAACTTGTTCAAGTTACTGGGCCTGCAGGCAGATTCCTTGGGGGAGGGAGGCGCTCTCACTCTTCACACCTGTGACTGCCAGCCTGGTGTTCTGACATCACCTGAAATCCAGCAGCCACTAAAACTACTCTTAGAAGGATTTCTATTGGAATAAGTTACACAAGGTACGTGGCACAGCTTTGAGGTAAACGAGAGTGGTCTCCCAGAGTCTGGGCAAGTCAGCATAATGGTCAGAATGGGAGAATTGAATACTCACTTGAGTCTAGACATCCCTGGTGACAGATTACAGTACCCAGTCTTTCATAGGCATTGGATGATCTAACCTAGCAAAATGGGAGTGACCTAATGGAGACTAGTCTGTGAGGTTGAAATCTCCATCCTACCTGGCTGTTTGGTTTGTTGTTCCCAGTTGTTGTTGTTGTTGTTGTTGTTGTTGTTGTTTTAAGATTTTATTTATTTATTCATGAGAGACACAGAGAGAGGCAGAGACACAGGCAGTGGGAGAAGCAGGCTCCATGCGGGGAGCCCAACATGGGACTCGATCCCAGATCTCCAGGATCACACCCTGGGCTGAAGGCGGCGCTAAACCGCTGAGCCACCTGGGCTGCCCTGTTGTTCCCAGTTTAAATCTCTACCCCTAGCTGCTTAGTCCTAGAGCACTTCCTCCTTTCCTTACAACCGCAGAAAAAGGAGGCAGGAACCCCCTGGGTCACTGGAAGCATGTACTTGGAACAGGTAAGAGCTCTATTTAGCTGGTTTAAAAACAGTTAAAGCGGGGGAGAGGGGATTCTAAAATACACAAAAATCTAAGGTAACACAAATTTTTTCACATCCATATATATAGGATCATTTTTGTAGATTAAAGTTTAAACTTGTTCACATAATTAAAATAGACATGTCTTTTGGAATTATCAACATCAAATATAATAGATACCCTTCAACCTACCTGAATTTATTGTATCTGTTACAATTTGTCACCAAAAAGAACTTAAAATGATGGTTAATTTTTTATCTGTCCCATAAAATTTTCATGGGTATTTATTATTGTTAAAAGAATAAATAAGTTCAATAAATAAAAAAGCTTATAGGTAAATTTTTAAAAGCTTCCAAAATCTTTGATAACCTATCACTTTACAGTTTTGCTAAACTAAATGATATCTAAACATTTTCCAAATAACAATACTGAAACACTGATTACTAAACATGAGGTTTATCTGTTTTTATTACAGAAAAACTAAATATAAATTCGGTCCATAAGGAAATATGTTTTATGCTTTATTAAAAGGTTATACTATTGGGCAGCCCGGGTGACTCAGCAGTTTAGCGCCGCCTTCAGCCCAGGGCCTGATCCTGTAGACCCAGGATGTGTCCCATGTAAGGCCGCCTGCATGAAGCCTGCTTCTCCCTCTGCCTGTGTCTCTGCACGTGTGTGATGAATAAATGAATAAAATCTTTAAAATAAAAAAAAGTTATACCATTTAAAAACCACAATCATGGAAATTATGACACATGTCACATGTTCATAAATTTGCCAATCTAAAGAATTCTGGTGTTAACAGTTCAATTGGTTATTACTTATCTTTTCCTGGAAATTAAATTTTCTAAACATTAAAATTCTGATACATGTAACTCAGATTGCTAGAAATGATAAGTAAAGCAATTCTATATGCAAGGAAAGTAAGATATGTTTTTGTTAAGAAAGGTAATGATGAGTAGGATTACATTTTTGTTGAGAGAAGACTGCTAAATGCAAACATGGAGAAATTAAATATGGCAAGGAAATCCCAGGCTGTTAGCAGCCACACATAAGCCTAAACAACTGGCTGTCGTTCACTGTAGAGGCCATCAAAAAAAGAAATCAGAGGGAATTGAGGTTTTAAGTTTGGCAGATGCAGGGGCAAATAGAGCTGCCAAGTCTGGGGAGCCTTTGCATTTGCCACTCCCACTTGCCACTATGTAAGTGCGCTCCATCATACTACCACGATGAGCTAAAAGAGGCTGCTGTAAAATTAGGCTACCTGTGATCCCTGACAGTCAGGGGATGAATGGTGAATAACAACCTGAGAATCTGGGTACCTATGAAGGCTGCCTGTAGACTCCTGAAGAGTGTACCTGACTCATCCATTATAAGGGATCCATTATATCTATGGCTACTAAAGATTATGAGCACCCCAGTGATGAAGGAAATTATTCAGAAAATAATAAATCAATGTGCCCACTGTAGACTAATAAAATACAAACCAGACCTCTGGTACCCCTCTAGTGAGAGCAACTCAAATCCAGTGGGCAATGCCAGGGAAGGACTGGTAAACAGACTTTACTATAATGCCAATGCCCCTGGAGCTTCGCATACCTTTTGGTGTTTGTAGATACATTCACTGGATGGATGCACAGAGGCCTTTGGAAGGACAAACAACTAACAAAGTAACAAGCGCCTTAGTAAAAGAGAAAGCTCCTCAACTTCAGTTGCCAAAAAATAAAAATTAAAAAATTAAAAAATTAAAAAATTAAAAAATTAAAAAATTAAAAATTAAAAAATTAAAAAATTAAAAAAATAAAATAAAATAAAATAAAATAAAATAAAATAAAATAAAATAAAATAAAATAAAATAAAATAAAATAAAATAAATAAAATAAAATAAAATAAAATAAATTTCAGTTGCCAAGGTCAATCCAGAATGACAATGGGTCAATCTTTATATTCAAAAGTCATTTCTGAGCCGTGGACTGAAGTGTCAAGTGGAAGTGACACTCTGCCTGGAGAGTCCATCTTCTGGGAAGACAGAATGGGCAAGCAGAACCCTTAAATAGACTCTGGCAAAGTTGTGCCAGGAAACAGGAACACCCGTTAAAGTTACTACAATAGCTCTCACCAGAATGACAGCTGCCCCACAGGGCAAACTAAAATCTCAGCCCATTTATGATGACTTATGGGGGGCCTTTCCAAAATGCTCTTTCTCACCTCCATACCCACAAGTTTCTCAGGCCATTAAGCATATAATTAATCTCCAACAGGTGATGGATACACTCAGCAAATATGGAAATTTTTCCTCCCTCTACCCTGAAATTGAGCTTCACCCAAATCAAACTGAGGACTGATATACCTCAAAACTTAGAAAAATGGGTCACCCCAGGATCAACTCTACTCTATTTGGACAAGGCCCCACCCAGTACTACTAACCACACACTCTTCCTTCAAATTAGAGGGAGTCCTACCTTGAATCCACCACACTAGAGTAAAACAGACATGTATCTACACAGAGGCCCAGAGATGCCACCAGCACCAGATAACAACAAATACTCCTGTGAGCCACTCACTGCCATGAAACTTCTGTTGGAGAAATTCACAAGATTAAAAGAGCCTCAGTGCATAAGGGCTCTCAAATTTAAACCACAATAATCTCTGTATGATACTAATTCTGCTGCTCTCGTATCTTTGGCCTTATTGTTTGCTGCCAGGCCCCCCTTAACAGACTCAATCATTCCCTCTAAGACTGTTGAGTAATAAATATCACAGCTTATTGTTAATACATGGCAAAACAGGGGCAGCCCGGGTGGCTCAGTGTTTACTGCCACCTTCAGCACTGGGCCTGATCCTGGAGACTCGGGATCGAGTCCTACATCAGCTCCCTGCATGGAGCCTGCTTCTCCCTCTGCCTATGTCTCTGCCTCTCTCTCTCTCTCTCTCTCTCTCTCTCTCTCTGTCTCTCTCATGAATAAATAATAAAATCTTTTTAAAAAATGATTTTATTTATTTGAGAGAGCGCAAGAAAGGAGTGAGCAGGAGTGTGGACAGGACAGAGGGAGAATATCAAGGAGACTGTGTGGAGTGCAGAGCTTGATACCTTACCAGAATACAGTGGATTTATACAAATTACAAGCCAAATGTAGCATCCATGTCCTGTAATGTCTAGTTCATTTTATTTGTTTTTGTGTATTTTGGGTTTTTTTTTTAATTTATTTATTTATTTTAGGGAGAGATAGCATGAGCAAGAGGAGCAGCAGTAAAGAAACTCAAGCAGACTCCCCAATGAGCATGGGAGCCGGATCCTGAGCTCACCACGACCCTGAGATCATGACCTGAGCTAAAATCAAGAGTCAGGGAGCATTCTGGATGGCTCAGCAGTTTAGCACCGCCTTCGGCCCAGGGTATGATCCTGGGGACCCAGGACAGAGTCCCACATCAAGCTCCCTGCATAGAGCCTGCTTCTCCCTCTGCCTGTGTCTCTCATGAATAAATAAATAAAATCTTTTTAAAAATTAAATAAAATATAAGGAACCCACTCACCCTTGTTTGGGGAGTCAAGGCTTTGGAAGTTATTCTCAACAATCTCTTTATTTGCTGCAAATAAAATTTCCTTTGTGTCACAACTTTACTTGGTATGCTTTCTATCTGTGACTCACCAGAAAGTGAACTCATGTTCTTTCAGTTATGTTGAGAACTGATTCTAGCTTCAGTGTTTCCTACTGTATCCATAAGATATTTTTTAACACACTAATGTGTTCTAGTGTATTCTCTAACTCTGAGGTAAGAGAATGGCATATGATCCACAAAACCATTATAAATACTTTGTTTACCTAAGATAACTTGTCAAATGAAGGCATCAACACAGGCATACACATTTCTGAGTACTGCATTTCTATCATACAGTATAGTTGTGTCTATTTCTTTTTTAAGATTTTTTTTCTAGATTTATTTATTTATGATAGGCAGAGAGAGAGAGAGAGAGGCAGAGACACAGGAGGAGGGAGAAGCAGGCTCCACGCCGGGAGCCCAACATGGGACTTGATCCCAGGACTCCAGGATCGCGCCCTGGGCCAAAGGCAGGTGCCAAACCGCTGCGCCACTCAGGGATCCCCAGTTGTGTCTATTTCTTACATGGAAAGCTTTGGTGGGGATCCCTGGGTGGCTCAGCGGTTTGGCGCCTGCCTTTGGCCCAGGGCGCGATCCTGGAGTCCTGGGATCGAGTCCCATGTTGGGCTCCCGGCGTGGAGCCTGCTTCTCCCTCCTCCTGTGTCTCTGCCTCTCTCTCTCTATCATGAATAAATAAATAAATCTTAAAGAAAAAAAAGGAAAGCTTTGGTGGGTTACAAATGTACCTAACAGATTCCACTGTGAGAATTTCACAACAGTGCTTTGGACATCTTGTGAAAATGCAGATTGTGTTCCAGACTTCAGGAGTGGGATTCGAGTCTGCATTTCAAATGGAGGTGGTAGCCTAAGGGCCAACGGATACATTTTTTCTTAATAACAAAGAGGTATAACTCTATGAATTCTTGGAGGACTTGTAACTGAAGGCATTTCATAGCCTTACAGATTCTACTGTAAGAGCAAGAATGGGGCAGCCCCCAGTGGCTCAGTGGTTTAGCATCGCCTTCAGCCCAGGGTGTGATCCTGGAGACCGGGGAGGAGTCCCACGGCGGGCTCCCTGCATGGAGCCTGCTTCTCCCTCTGCCTGTGTTTCTACCTCTCTCTGTGTCTCTCATGAATAAATGGATGAAATCTTTAAAAAAATATTAATAATAGTAGCAAGAATGGCACAATACTTTTTGAGCGTTTACTGGTTATTAGGTAGCACTTTAATGATTTTTCAGAAATTAAGGCACAAATAAATAATAAGAATCTATAAACATATTATTCTTTTTATGAGAATATTTTGACAAACATCCAGTACATGGAAGGGATTAGCTTTTAATCCAGGTTGTCTGACCTACAGTCGATCTAAAATGACAGCCAGGACAATTTACAGTCAACCCTGCTGCAATCTGAAAAGAGTGATGGAAACAAGGCACTGACACAAAAGTGATCTACCTTTTACATTTTATGCACACATCCACACATGTAAAAAGCACTTATACACACATTAAAAGTGATAGCATAAAACGTCATGGTAACTTAAACATTTTCATTGGCAATAAACTTATAAATCCACATGTGGATGATGATGCTTCTATCTTTTAATCACACTATAAAGACAAACAGAATGGTATAAAGAAAACAGCTATACACTATATATATGTTAACTAACTAGAATTTAAATAAAAACTGGAGGAAAAAGAAAACCGCTAACATTTCTGAGTCTAGTATTTCACTGAAAATTCTCTTTCAAAAATCATTGATGCTCTGTGTTAGATTTGAGAATATTAAGATGCTTGAACATGTTAATTATGTGATTCTTGGTTTTTGTTTTTTTTTTCCTGAAAATATGAGTATGTCTGAGACATGAGTGTAGAATAAAACAGAAACCTACAGGACAACAGCCTGAATTATTTACAACCACCACTCCCAGAAGTATCTCCCGTACACAGAAGAGAGAGCCTTCATTTTCCACTGGAAACTACATGCAAAAATAAACTCAGGAGTTCCCAGTTTGAATGTGAAGGCTTCTGCATATCTTTCAGTAAATCCATCCAATCTTCATGAATGAGAGGCATATTCACATTACACAGGAGGAAATCTGGCAGAGAGCGCACAAAACCAAGTAAAAGAAGTTAACATCAGCTGTAAAGAAGCAAATTGTTATCAGTTCCTGCAGCACATAGGACACATTATCCCTGTTGTGTTCTTGTGGCCCCCAAATGTAAATCAAAATATGAACCTAATTATGAGAAAACGGTGGGTTTATACAAATTACAAGCCACACGTAACGCCTATGTCCTGTAATGTCTAGTGTAGATTTTTATTTTTTTTAAAGATTTAAGAGAGAGGGAGAGGAAGTGCGAGTAGGGAGAGGGGCCGAGGGAAAGAATATCAAGCAGACTCCCCGCTTAGCGTGGGAGCCAGACACTGGGCTGAATCCCAGGACCTTGAGATCACGACAGGAGCTGAAATCAGCCAGTCACTTAACCGAATGAGCCACCCAGGTGCCCTTCTAGGTATTTTAAATTGAGCATCTTTCACATTCCAAACAGCAAGGCTGTCTTTTCCAGACCTTTCCGAGTTATCTGGGGGCACATCCATCCTGTTTATTTGCACATTTTCTTAATCCCGGTATACATACAGCCATCAAAGTATCCAGATGGGACCTAACCATGAAATGTTCCCCTTGGCTGATATCCCAGGAATCGACCACATCCACACAACAGACATCTTTGATTCAGTGCTTTCCCTTGTGGATCTGTCCCAGAGGGAACATTTTTGATAGATGCAAGACATTAATTCAAACTCACAATTGTTCATATGTTCTACTGGAAGGCAGGTTGGAGGGAAGGGAAAGAGGGCTCTGGAATGTAGGAAAGTATTCTAAGAGCTAAAAAGAAGTATTCTTTAAATTTAAAAAACAAGGTATTATTTATTTTATTTTAGAGAGAGGGAGAGAGTGCGTGCGTGTACTCGCTAATTTAGCTCCTAGAATACTATATTCTTTCTAGGAGCTAAATTAAAGTAATCTTTAAAAAAAAAAAAGGATCGTCTTTATTTTAGAGCGAGAAAAGAGAGAGTGCGTGCTCGCGAGCTGGGAGGGGGGAGGGTGCAGAGGGAGAGGGAGGAGGAGAGAAGCAGACTCCCCAGTGAGCGAGAAGCCCCATTCCGAGCTCAATCTCAGCACCCTGAGATCGCAACCGGAGCCAAAATCAAGAGTCCAATGCCTCAGGGACTGGGACCCTCAGTATCCTTTTTTTAAAAAGGATTTTTTAAAAAGAGATGAATACACTCCTAAGACAGGAACATCATCAGAACGAGAGCAATCAGCATTGGCAACTTGGAAACGCTCGGAATTTCAGGAGACAAAGATGACACGGCCTGTGATGTGGGACGCGAGGCTCACCTGGGAACTGGCCATTTCTTCTCCTTTCACCTCATTCCCTGGACTTCTTCCTCAGAGGAGATTCGTGGAGCAATCACAGCCGCCTCAGGAGAAAACGCCCTCGGAGCCACCGACAGAGCCTCTTAACCCGTAACCTGCTCGCCTGCAGGCAGGACGGCGAAATGCAGAAAAGGCCCCACTTCCTGGTCCTTTGTGTCAGGAGCCGCTCAGAACAATGAGCTCCTGCTTGGACGCCGATCCCTGAGTGCCCGCGGGTCGGTTTCTATCCGGGGCGGGGGGGGGGCAGGCGGGCGGGCGGCGCAGCTCTCCCCGGACACCTGGACCAGCGCAGATAGACGACGGCGGCCGCCCAGGACGGACGTCAGGTGCCCGCCCGGCAGCGCGCCGCCAGGAGCTAGATCAAACCAGCCGGGCCCAAGATGGCGGCCGCCATGACCGGAAGCGCCCGACCAAATAAGGAAGAAAAGGCGCGGAAACGGGGCTTGCGAGAAATTCCCACCCCGGGTCATACACGGTCCGGCCCCCTCCTCGACAACAGTCAGTCACGCGAGAAACCCGCAGCCCCGGGCTCCCGCTCTCTCTGGGGGTCTCCTGCTGTCACATCTTGAAAGTGTACTTTGTTTTAGGAAACTTTCCTGTTTGTGTCGCTCATTTGCTGACCTGTGTGCGTCCCTGAATTCTTATGGTGACAAGATGGGGACACCGGAGCATTATACTTGGGATGGGCTGGATGGAGGGCCCAGGGTCTCCCCAGGCCACCTGGAAATGCTTTCTTTGGTTTGGTTTGTTGTTGTTGTTCTTTAATATTTTATTTATTCATGAGAGACACCCAGAGAGAGAGGCAGAGACACAGGCAGAGACACAGGCAGAGACAAAAGCAGGCTCCCTATCTGGAGCCTGATGCTGGGACTGGATCCCAGGATCCCAGGATCACGACCTGAGCCGAAGGCAGATGCTCAACACTGAGCCACCCAGGTGCCTCACTTGGAACACTTCCTTAAAACAACACTGTTGTTTCCACCCACGCCAATTGATAGAATCTAAGGAGGAAGGCTCTAACGATGGAGTTAGGGACAGATAGGACTAAGCAGGGAAAGATAAGGGAAAGGCCCCACAGTCAGGCTCCCATAAGCTCCAGGGACACTGAGAAGCAACAAAAACACAGATAAGTAAATCTGGTCCTTGGCTCCAAAATGCTAGGGAGTACCTTCCTTTGACTGCTATCAAGTAATCACCAGACTCAAAACAGTCATTTTCATTCACTCAAGATGTCACAAGAGATCTCCAGGCCATCAGCTTCCTAGTCAGGTTTTCTATAAAAGGCCAGACGGAAAGCCCTCAGGGGCAACGCTGTTGAGGCCCCTCTCACTCCTGAGAGTTTTCTCTGTATCCTTGCTTAATAAATTTATATCGGGGATCCCTGGGTGGCGCAGTGGTTTGGCGCCTGCCTTTGGCCCAGGGCGCGATCCTGGAGACCCGGGATCGAATCCCACGTCGGGCTCCCGGTGCATGGAGCCTGCTTCTCCCTCTGCCTGTGTCTCTGCCACCCTCTCTCTCTCTCTCTCTGTGACTATCATAAATAAATAAATACCTTAAAAAATGTTTTGAAAAAAAAATAAATAAAATAAAATAAAAATAAAAAATAAATTTATATCACTTGGGCAACCCGGGTGGCTCGGCGGTTGGCGCCGCCTTTGGCCCAGGGCGTGATTCTGGAGACCCCGATCGATCGAGTCTCCAGTTGGGCTCCCTGCATGGAGCCTGCTTCTCCCTCTGCCTCTCTCTCTGTGTCTCTCATGAGTAAATAAATAAAATATGTATAAATAAACAAATTTATATCACTTTACTCACTTTCATCCTCAAGATTCACTCTTCAACTCCGTGAAACAAGAACCTAGTTCTCCCGCATCACAGTGATCCTTTTTGAAACTCCACACTTGATTGCCCTATTGGCAAGCATTTGGGAGGTGACCAGGCAAAGCAGTAACCATGGGTATGGTTATTGTCCAGATTTAAATCCATGCCTTCTCCACTGATCAGTGTTTCTGGAGATTGACACATTCTCCCCCTTTCTGCTACACAGAGGGAGCTGGGTAGGGAACTGTGTAGGGGACTTTATAAATACAAATGTCCCTTACAAAAGGAAACCAAAACGTCAGTTTCAGGTTTCAGAGTTTTTCCTTTATCTGCTGTATCTTTAAAATAACCAGTCTCAAATAATCCTTGTGCCAAAGAGACATACTTTGCGATAAAATGTTCCCCTTGATGTGAAAGCAAAAGCAAGAGAAAAAAATAATAAATAAATGTCCTTACTTCCTACAGCCCTTTGACAAGTCCTTAAAACAGGTAGAGTGACCTTCCTCTGGGAGCTGGGCTTCCTTGATGTTAATACTTTGCTAAGGGAATGGCAACCTTAGCTTAACATTATCCCAATCGCCTTCCACTCCCACAGGAGCCTGTAAGTCTACTTTAACATATAAAAATTATTTTGGAAACTTCCATTATCTCTACCCCTAAGATATATGTTGGCAATCCTCCTCCAAGCATATGACCCACTGATGTATACCTGAAAGGTCTCATGACTAAGATCTTTTTAGACATAATAAATGATCTTTACTTAACAATAGCTCATCCCTCAAGGTCCTGGAAATCTTACTTCCAGAATTCCTTAGGGAACTACATTATCACTAACCACCTCCCCACTTGAAAGTGTATAATGGGTCACTTCTCATGACCCCAGCACAGCTCTTTCTGCCCAGGGGTCCTGTCTCATTTATAAAAATGGTGAGTGGGATGCCTGGGTGGCTCAGCAGTTGAGTGTCTGCCTTTGGCTCAGGGCGTGATCCTTGCAACAGGGATAGAGTCCCACAACCGGCTCCTTGCAGGGAGCCTGCCTCTCCCTCTGCCTATGTTTCTGCCTCTCTCTGTGTATCTCATGAATAAATAAAAAATATTTTTTTAAAAATGGTGAGTAATAAAACCACCTTTCTGCACTGAAGATGGTTTAAGAATTCTTTCTTGGTCATGGGCTCTGATCTCTAGTATATTTCCTACATCACCCTTTAGTAGGCAAATGTTTATTTTCATAAGTAACTGTCAGTTTTCTTTCATTTTTTTAAAAAGATTTTATTTATTTATTCATGAGAGACACAGAGAGAGAGAGAGGCAGAGACACAGGCAGAGGGAGAAGCAGGCTCCATGCAGGGAGCCTGACGTGGGACTCCATCCGGAGTCTCCAGGATCACGCCTTGGGATGAAGGTGGTGCTAAACCCCTGGGCCACTCAGGCTGCCCAGTAACTGTCAGTTTTCTACAGTGAATGCACTTTTTACACTCCCATCAGCAATATATAAGAATTCTAACTGCTCATCATATCCACTGAAATTTGATGTTATCATTTTTTCCTTTATGTTAGCCATTCTAGGTAATAGTATGTGGTTTCTCCTTATAAAATATGAAGTGGTCTTACTACAGTTGTCCTAGTGATTGGGATGAATGCATAGGACAGGAAAACTCTTCTCCCTTCTAGATTCTTTGGCTGTTCTAATAATTAAACCAACATAAGACAGGTTATTCACCAGAGAAAGAACAAATTTAATTTCTTCGTTATAAGAACTCCAAAGATATTAGGCTCAAAGACAAGCAAATGATGCTTATAGGCCATTCTGACCTAAGGAGAAGCCAGTAGGGATTTAGAACTTCAAAAAGGGGGAAGTATAGTCATGAGAAAAAGGAAAGAGCAAATGTTGGCAAATGTATTCCACAATAGGCAGGCAAAACTTTCTCATAAAAAATTATTTCTAGGGGTGCCTGGGTGGCTCAGTTGGTTAAGTGGCTGCCTTTGCCTTGGGTAGTGGTCCCAGGGTTGAGGATCAAGCCCCTTTTAGGCTCCCCACTCAGTGGGCAACCTACTTCTCCCTCTCCCTCTGCTTGTTGTGCTCTTTCACTTTCTCTCAAATAAAAGTAAAAATCTTTTTTAAAAATTATCTCTAATATTAGCTCTCTTTGTGATTGAGGTCCCGTATCTAATTTCTTTTGGAAGTTAAATGAGAGGCAAAATAACATTACCTGAGTCTGCTGGATCTTAATTGCCTTCAGCTCAAAACAATCCACAAGCAAAGTGATTAATCTTGAAATCACATATTCTCTCCCAACTGAATAAAGAAAAAGTAACTTGTGGGTTGTCTGGATGGCTCAGTTGCTTAAGTATCCAACTCTTGACCTCAGTGTTGTGAGTACAATCCCTGTATTGGGCTTTGCTCAAGAAAAGAAAAAAGTAATGTGTGTGTGTGTATTTTAGCTTCAAAAGTGAAGGAAATCAGATCCCTGGGTGGCGCAGCGGTTTGGCGCCTGCCTTTGGCCCAGGGAGCGATCCTGGAGACCCGGGATCAAATCCCACGTCAGGCTCCCGGTGCCTGGAGCCTGTTTCTCCCTCTGCCTGTGTCTCTGCCTCTCTCTCTCTCTCACTGTGTGCCTATCATAAATAAATTTTAAAAAATTAAAAAAAAAAAGTGAAGGAAATCTTTCCATTTGCAGCAACATGATGTACTCGGAGGACATTTTGTAAGTTAAATAAGCCACACACAAGGGATACTTGGCTCAGCGGTTGAGCATCTGCCTTTGGCTCAGGGAATGATCCTGGATTCCTGTGTTCCAGTCCCACATCAGGCTCCTTGCATGGAGCCTGCTTCTCCTCCCTCTGCCTGTGTCTCTGCCTCTCTCTCTGTGTCTCTCATGAATAAATAAATAAAATCTTAAAAAAAAAAAAAAGCCACACACAGGAAAAAACCAATTCTGAATACAATCACGTATATGTGGAATCCATAGAAAGTTAAAATCTTAAATGTGAAGATTAAAATCAAATGGTAAAAAGATTAATTTAGAGGATGTCTGGGTGGCTCGGTGTTGACCATCTTTGGCTCAGGTCATGATCCTGGGGTCCTGGGATCGAGTCCCACATCAGGCTCCCCATGGGGAGCCTGCTTTTGTCTCTGCCTATGTCTATACCTCTCTCTGTGTGTCTCTCATGAATAAATAAATAAAATCTTTAAAAAATTCACTTAGGCAGGGTAAATAATTATTGGAGGTCTATCAGCTAGTGCTT